GTGCTGGTATTGTGACAGCGATAGGGATGACGCCAGACACACCGTGTTCGAGTGCCCGGAATGGAAAGAAGAGAGAACCTCCGTCAACAAACTGATAGGGGAAGAACTGTCCCCTGACAGCTTCATAGGACTCCTTCGTAATGACCGCAAAAGAAAACACGTTAAGGACTTCGTCAAAAAGATCATGGAGACGAAGGAGAATCACGAGAGAGAAAGAGAGAAAAAAGAAAAAATGAGAAAAGAAAGATACAAATAGGCACGTACGGGCCCGTTCGTCTTAAAATGTATGTTTGCGTATTTTCTTATTTATTGATTGATTTATTTATTTATTTATTGACTTATTTATTCATTTATTTATTTATTTATTATTTATTTATTTATTTATTATTTATTTATGTATTTACTTATTTATTTATTTATTATTTATTTATTTATTTATTTATATATTTGACTCCGTAAGGTGTAATCAACGACTACCTTCTCATTTATACCGACGACTAAATAATTTATACTTATTTTTATATTCCGACGACCGCATGTTTACTATTTTTATTTATTTATTTATTTTTATTTATCTTTTGATTCCGTAAAGGTGACAAATTAGTTCATTATATATTTTATATTAACCGGCGACCACATAATTACTATTAATGTACTATAGCACAATTAGCTACGTAGTATATACAATAAGATAGAAATATAGGCTATGCGTCAAGAACAAAGCTTCCCCCCTCGGCAACGAAATATTACCCTACGGCTGAGTTCCGTTGTATCGAGGGGGGTGAGAGTCCGGTTGAAGCTGACAGAGGTGGGGTTTTTAGTGGGTATTCCAACTACGGTCGAGTCCCACATAACCTGATCAACACCGCAGGTATGCGTAAATGCATTTTCCCCACCTCTCTAAAAAAAAAAAAAAAAAAAAAAAAAAGGTCTGTTTAGTCTCAAGAACCCTCTTACACGACCGCACGCATTCTAGAAACCCTAGTCCGTAAATTCTCCGACGGTCAATGAGCGACAGGCCATTCGCCTTCGACTCCGCTTAAAACTCGTTGACGCTAACATACATATACATATGTCCATGGGATATTCTTACATGGAACGGAGTTTAGTCGCAGGCGCAAGCGTCTGACGTTGAACGCAAACACTACTTCTAGACCTAATTACTTTCAGATGAGAGGCACGTGCTGGTGAAACAGTAAATAACATGGTTTCGTTACTTTTCAGAATTAACAGATTCATTACTCGCTTCGCAGGCGTTCGTCTTTTTTGTAGCTGGTTTCGAAACTTCCTCGTCAACGATGGCTCGTTCACTTTACGAATTAGCATTAAACACTAATATACAGGATCAATTGCGAAAGGAAATCAGGGAGAACTACGCACGACATGGTGAAACATTGACGCACGAACAGGTGAAAAAGATGAAGTACTTGGATTTATTGCTCCGAGGTAATTTCAAATGAGACATGCTAAATTACATACAAAACCGCGAAAATTTATTTACAAATCAAGAAAACCTTGTCACAAGAAATTGATGTAAACAAGGATCATGGGGATACCTAAATAGAATTACATAAAAATTTATACACTCCATTGCTATTTCGAAAGTAAATGACCAAATGTGTGAATCACTGGACGAAGTTTACAATTAGACCACAGTGACGGTATCATCACAGAGAATGTTATTTCTTGTACAGAAATATGTCGAAAAATTTTTTTCATGAAGCTTAATTCAGTGGAAAATTAAAAAGTACACAGACATGTGTAGTTACATGTAGCAATAGAAGAAAGATGTCGCTATTTTTGACCTAATGAGGTATCAACCAGTTATTAATCTTTCAAATCGTTCAAATTTGGCACTAAGTATGTCTTTTAACCGTTGATATTCATGGTTAGGTTGTGCAAATTGCTCTTATGGTTAGATGTGAAGTAATTCGATGATTCATAAATACATGTCAATACTTCAGAGGCTAAATCTACACGCCAAAAGAACTAATAAATGTCATATGTCCGATATACCTTAGTTATCAAGTTATTGGATGATTAAAGAAAACGTTCGAAGTGCCCACTTCGTGCCTCAACACACGCTACTGCATGCCTCGCCGTAGCATTGAGTTCCGCGCTCGCTCGAAAATACCAGCACAGACGAGGTGTAGGAGGACTACTATACCTCGTTTGTGATACCAGGTATTCTTCGAACAGTCTCAAATCCATTTGATGTCCTTTTTTTAAATGTACAATAGTTTTTAAATGGCCCGTAAAGTAAAAGTCTACTGGATTGAAATTGTGCACTTCGAACATTTTCTTTAATTGCTCGTAGCTCAAAAACTAAGATATATAGAACATATGTTCACATGACGTTTTTTACTTATATTAGTGTGTAGATTTACCCCTGATGTATTGACATGCATTTATGAACCACCCGGTATATTTTATTAAGTAATTCAGAAACTATTATAATAAAAATTGAAAAGAACATCAAATTGGTAAAGTTTCTGGTTTTCCATTCATGCCAAATAATTTCGCATCCACATTAATTTGGGAAACATATTCATTTATACAGAGACTCTAAGGAAGTACCCGGTTGTACCAATGCTGATGAGAAAAGTGTCCACAAATTACACTTTTAAAAGAACAAATATAACTATCTCAAAGGATACGAATGTATGGGTAGCAGTGTATGGAATTCATCATAACCCTGACATTCATCCCAAACCTGAAATGTTTCATCCTGAAAGATTCACTGAAGACGCCGTTTCAGCCAGACATCCTATGAGTTACTTACCCTTTGGTGATGGGCCCAGAAATTGTATCGGTATGTCCAAAGAAAACTAACTATGGAATAAATAATATGTATGGTCTACTAAGGTTTGTAAATTCTGAAATATCCTTACTGCGTATTTTCAGGAGCCCGTTTTGCATTTCACCAGAGCAAGATTGGACTTATCTCGATTCTTCGTAACTACAGAGTCGACGTTTGTGAGAAAACAACGATTCCGTATACGTCTAACAGCCGATCGTTCACGTTAACACTTAAAGGAGGAGTAGTATTAAAAATAACGAAAGTAGAATAGATTAACAACAGAATAATGCTTTATTCTACTTTATCATTACTTTCTTAAGAAATTGATGAATGCAATCCTCTTAAGAAAGGAATATGAATATGATCAGTATCAGACTGATCTGTATCCGACTAAAGATATATCTTTATATCAGTATACATATTATTTAAGACAATATTATTGTATACAGAATTTTAACGAAATAAATATATTACAAAGAATATTCATGTTCCGTCACGGAATACGATCATCGGCCATGTATAATTTTCGACTTTAGTCAGTCTTTCACTGGAATATTTTCATCTTCGTTCATTTGTCGAATATTTAATACCTTTCAATCTTTGAAACAGAAAACAAAGGATCAAAAGTAACAATACGGACATAAATTATCCTGTTGGGAGATACTCGCCAATTCTGCGCGGTCAGATCGAATCTTCTCTTTGTCCTGAGGAAGAGGGTTCCCTCCACCATGTCAGCTCAGGAAAACCCATAAGTATACCACCTTCTTCAGAGCACACCTAATGGCAATTCGAAATTAATGAACATCTTTGGCGAGAATATCATCAATTGCTAAGAACCACTACATTACAAGAAGCTTCAAACTATTCCATTCGCAAGGATTTGGTCTATCACACTCAAACATTCTTGGTTATAAAGGATGTAATAAAAATGTTGCAGGACCCGGAAATGGAAGACCCGTGAGGAAAAACCCAGACTGATCAGAGCGCGAATCTACCGGCCGAGTTCCCGCGGTAACGTTGGCTACGCGCTGCCATTGGTAGCCAACGTTACCGCGGGAACTCGGCCGATAGACTTGCGCTCTGATTGGTAGGAGTTTTTCGTTAATATCTCATTAACAAAGCCTTAGATAACATTTTTGTTAAGGAAAAACTTGTTTCAAATCACCTCACGAGTCTCCCATTTCCGGGTCCTTCAACATTTTTGTTACACACTGTATATTTGAAAAAGTCAGTCGTTTTTGCTCTATCAGTCGAGTTATCATCATTTGTAACGTGCAGTCTTGTTCTAGCGTTAACAGTCGAGTAATCGTCATTTTGCATTGTGCTTAATCATTCGACTATTCGCGTTCGATCATGCTCATTCGGACAGTCACATTCGTTAATATTTGGAACCGCGATCGAATTTTTGTACAATACACATCCACAATCGTTGCTCTCTCAGTTTCGAAATAATTGCCCAAGATTAACACCTTGTGTTCTATATGACATATACATTTGTGTCGTAATACATCGCGTTCAAAATAAATCAGCAGATTTCACCTGGAAATTTATTTCTCTCCATAAAATAAATGGCACAGTACCAGAAATGACTTCAGGCCAATATATTACATCTTGCAAAAAGGAACAAAATTCAAGGAATAACAATAAGCGATTTACGAATATGTCTGACGAGTATGTTATTTTCCCAGCAGTTTTGCTCCTAATTGTATAGTTGTAACGAAACGGCACTTTTGATTGTGCACATTGAAATTTATTACATATCAAGTAACAGTGTGCCTAACACCTTTTTCTTATTCTTTTCTCCTGCATTTGGTACCAGAGCAGCTATACCAATTCCTTCAATAGTAAATTATACTATCTTTCTTTTTTGGTTTTTGTTAACCAATTGTACGCGCTGATACGTTTCTGAGGTGACACTGAGACGTGGACAACCGAACGTTGTCGTTTATATCTCGTGCCACTGAATGAGCGACAACCTTGATGCGGTTAATAGAGTCTGTAAATGTACAAGAATACCAATTTACGCTGGGGGAATGGGATGATGGAACGCGGTGTGGGCAGTTAGTCGTTATACAGATATCGAGTGAGGCTGTCTGTAATGTTCTAGTCGTCTTAACTTAAATATCATTAGAGTGCAGTGAGTTTTTTACTGGTATATTATAATAAACAAGTCAAATTTTTTACATTGCTGTAAAAGTAAAACAATTTCAAATTAATACCTCCATACCTAATAGTCAAAGGTAATACTTTTTTCGCTTGAATGTGAAGATTGTAGTTGTGTTAGTGTCATATAAAGCTTTATTACTAAAAAATGGTTGCAGTTCATGTTATAGGACATTTTGTGTTGTATTCGTGTTTCCCTAACACCCTTGAAACTATTGAAACGTCTACCTGGGACATCCTATATGTACCGGAAGTTTTATTCGTGGACACAATCATTATTCCTGCGAGGCAGGACACTGAGTTCTATGCATTATTTCGTTTTAGCTGCTGGTAAAGATAGTGGCTATTAAAAGGTAGTGTGTGGCAACTATAATCAAATACAAATGTATTTATTGTATCAGGTGTTCTATCAAGCCTTAAAACAAATCAGAAACTCATTAAACTTTCTTATATACTTTATTGTACCTGTTTAGCGTACAGTCTACTGCTAAGAAATGGTAATTCCTTTACCAACATGATCACTGAATTTGAATTAGCCCGTGGGATGTTTGAGATTCGTTTTGCGTTTAAATAGCTACTGGCGTTCAATTACAAGAGATTGTTTACTAGAATCTACTTACAAAAAAATAACATTTTTGTCCATCTTTCCGTCGTCGTGTTTGAAACATGAATGCTTTAACTTCTGGTTGATTTTATATGTATACTGCCTCAACCTACTATACCTTTGCGGTTTCATATGTATATTTGCGATATTTCAACGTAAATACGTTCGAACGTAAATGTGTATTCCACTTCGAACTTGGACTTATTCACCATCGCGTGTACTTACTGAAAACGACACTTTCTTCTGTATTTTTACCAATCCTCTGTCTTTCAATTATATTACAGAATTCATAAATAAATGTACTCAACGTCCACAAAAGGTACATTTTATTTTTCCTGAATTTTTACCAATCTTTTGTCTTTTATTTCAATGTTAGAATCTTTTCAGAAGTCGAACCAACGCCATCAAACCGTACCCAGATAACACATGACGCCTTGAAGACGCCCATTTTACGGCTATTTTAGATCTACGGCGCCTTTAATCCACCAACAAGGCGTTATATGCTATCTGGGTACATTCTCGTTAGATTGTTATATGAGATGACTTGTTTATTTATTCCAGTATCTTCACCAGTTCGTTTTCTTATTAGCATTCAGCTAGTGTATTTCCAAAACAGCATGTGAATAATTTTTACGGACAGTACGTTAGTTCTAATGTTGCAAAATCTAAACATATTTATTAGCAGTAGTAAAGCAGTTACAATTAGAGATTACAAATCTATACCAGCCCCGCTATTTTTGGAAGCCGGTATCAGTCGTTTTGGCATTGTATTTATTAAGTTTTTAAGCGTCTCATCTTCAACATTCATCCACGCAGTGTGAATGGCCCGTTCCAGTTCCGCAGTCGTGGAATAATGTTGTCCGTTCTTGTAAATTACAAGCGCTGTAATTCTCCAAAGATTCTCTATCACATTCAAACCTGGGGACATCACCGAGTACTACAAAGTAGAAATTTTTGTCTCCACATTTTGGTGGATTTACTTTCATGGATTTGATGTCATTAGTGAATGAAGTAAAAAGTGAAGGTCCAATGTGAAATCCTTGGGAGACATCGTAGTTGACATTAATAATACGAGAAAAGGTGTTATTAAATCTAAAAATCTGAGGTCTGCCAGTAATGAAGCTGGACAGCCACAATAAAAACTTGCTTATTATGTTACAATTACGTAATGTTGACGATGTACTGTTTCTTTAGCTTTAATAGCTGAAATCACTGACTTTGAAAACTAAGACGATATGAAGATCTACACTGTGTGGCATAACTATAAACTCACCATAAAATTTTCAATCCTTATGTATTGCGGTTAAAATAAAAACGAATCATGTTTTTCCAAGGAATATACATACGTAATTTATCCTTTTCTGGAGAAACATTATTTCTCAACACAATTTCAGCCGTAGCATGTTTTTATTTTAACCATAATACATAGGAATTGAAAATATTATGGTTATTTTATAATTAAGCTACGCAGTATATGAATAGTTTTGTTTACTTTTCTTGAAGCCATTAACAGGACACTAATTTTTCAAGTATACCTGCTCAACACAAATACGAAGCTTGTTTTTACAGGATATTTGTGTTTATTCTCATGCATTTACATTTTTAATTACGTACTATTTATTTTTAACACGAATTACTGTCAACGTTTCTTCTTTCATTATAATTATTTGGATGTTGTGCATCTACTGCTAATTTGTATTTATTATTGTATGTTATTTTAGGTTTTATGTCATATACATCTTTTATTTATACAGGGTATTTCACGTAACTTGACCACCTTAAATATATCGCTTATTTTGTATGATAGAAAAAATATCAGGGGAGAAAAATATTCTGTTCGAAGGCGCCAATACGGTGATGGGCCGAATTTTTTTCTCAAGGTCATTTTTTTTCGAGATTTCAAGGTCATCGAATTTTTTTTAAATGGGACTACATATTTTCACTACAACACTCTTATAGCATATAAAAAAACAAATCCAACGAGGTGCAATATGTTAACCTTCACGTGACCTTTAGCGAAAGAATCATGAAATGTTTGTCATTTCTATATTGTTTCATATTTTTCTTATTACAAGGATAAAAAGTCTCAAAGGAATCATAAGTCCCAACGCAACTGTTTCGTTAGAATCTAACGTTGAAATTTTGCCGACTAAATCTTGTTTATACTAGCTTATTCAAGGTGTCGTTTACTTCGTGGTTCAACTGAGTAGGAGGTGATTCTATGTGAAAAATAAGACGAAAATATAGAATAAATTTTTTTCATTTCAGATTTTGTTTTTGAAAAAATCGATTTTGGTATAGTTCCTTTGAGAATTTTTATCTCTGTAATGAGAAGATTACAAAATAATAAACAAAAATTTGACCTTGAGTTTCCAGGTCATGTTCGATTTTATGGGAAGTTTTTTAACAGATCTTCACCAATCTGAAGGTGTAGAATCCACTTATGATAGCCACGACAAAACCTTTTTTACACCCTGTACATACATAGTATATGTTGACAGGGTAATGACTCATTTTTAATAATCCTCGAATGAGTGCGAATAAACATAACGAAATAAACAAGAGATACAATGCTGATTCATGTTTCTGCGAAGTCGTATTGTCGTTTGCTGGTCTTATCAAATACACAGCTATTTTTACATATTCATACAAGATATAAGTTTTGTGACTAAAATAAAATAGACCAAGACTAGAATTAAGTACTATACAAACTTCTTTTCTATGATTTTCATTTTAATCCGGTAGATTTTTTAATAAAACCGAAATTTTAGCTTCTATCCAATTTTCATGTGTATAAATAAATAATTGTACGACAAAAGCAAGATCAGTGAATATGAATAATAAGAATTATTACTACGTTCACAATTACATATTTTTGTAATTCAAATCTAATATCTTAATAAAGTAGTAGTAACTAATCATACGTAAATAATGATATTTTATGCATAAACTCAATTCCACAATAACTGTTAAAATAAATACAATTCGTAAATGAAACAACAAATCACATTGTCACTCTAAAATTCGTATTAAACAAAGTACGCTTTATATTTACTGTTACAACATTATCGACGTAGTAATTAGATATTCTTTAGTTTGTTATAAAAGCTTTTCCCTTGGTGATTCCAACAAAAAAGCTGATATTATTAAATATTTCGCTTTTGTAAATAATGGAGATTAACATTAAAATGCGATACGTTTTTTGTACCCTGCTGTGTTTATTCTCATGTATTTACATTTTTAAATACGCCTTTTGATTTTGAAACGTACTGGACGCACAACTTTTATATCAGTGAAGATTAACTGTAACGCAAGATAAGGTGAACTTCTCGTGATTCGTATTGGCTTCTGCACTTATCGCAAACTATCGTGCTCTAACATTTCATTGTAAATGAACGTCGTGCCTTACAGTGAGCACGTATCACATATGTTAGGTGAATGGTTAAGTCATAATTCAACCGTTCTGTTTCAAGGAAAGTACTCACGACGTAAGTATTGTATGTAGTTACACTTGTATTTTCAACTTTCGTGTATACTGCTACGGTAATAATGCTTATTCGTATGAAATTCAGTGTCTATTCATAATCTACTGTTTCTAATTATTGTAGTCATATGCACATGTGCTATTTATATGTGCAGTGATTTTTTGATAATCACTCACACGGTTCTGTAGTAAACAGACCACTCAAACACCTGGCAGAACCGCATTACAAATAATTTTTAAACGTTAGTGCACGGAAAGTAACATGATTTATCTGGTTGGTATAACATGGTGCAAAAAATTAAAAATCGACGTAGATGTGGCATGTGTCCTTCTTCCACTAAACCCCTCATTTATAATCATCTTGTGGTTAATAGTCATAACGTGATAAAACCGTTGAATAAAAAAAGTATCAATGTATATCGAAGATTAAATTATCGATAACTAAAGACTAATGAATACAAGACAAAATAATCAGTCAACGAAATTAAATCTACAAGATCTACGCATTTTGGAGAAGTTAGAATGACGTACGAATTTTGTTACTCATTCAATAAACGTCGTGAGTTTTGTAATCTGTGTATGCATCATTCGATAACTGTAGAGTTGTAGAGGCTACATTTTTATCAGTCATGAAGCCTGCATTAGCAGTTAGTAACAACAGATAAAACGAAAATACGAATTGTTAATACTACCCCAGTATACATACTAATACGGAAGTATATACTTATGGTTAGTTAGATAAGAAATTATGTGTCGTCTAAAAAGAAATCGCTTTTATTGATGCACTACGACTTTTCGTATGTCAAAAGAACATAACCGTTTCCATGTGTAACGAAATAAATTAAGACTTGAACATAATTTTATATTGTATGTAGGTACCTGTATTATTAGATTCTTATAGTTATTACTAGAGTATCGAATGTACATTTCTTTAACGTATTGATGACTGCTAATCCAGCACCTATATGTCGAACTTCGACTAAAAACCAAATTATAGAAGCCGAAATTTATCGGAGTACCTATTTTTTAACTTTTCTAAATCTCATAAACTTGAACGAAATTTAGCATGTTATACGTGTCAAACAAACAATAACAAACGTATGTCATCACTTTGACTTTGATTCAAAGGGTTATTTTTAAAAAAACTTGATATTAATTGTTTCTAACTATTTCTTTTTTGCCAGATAGCTGATCCAATATGGCAGACGGTGTCCTTATATTGTGCGGCGTGTTGGTCATACTACTTTTACTTTACTACTATTTCACTTCCCTCCACAATTTCTGGAAAAATCGTGGTATACCTGGACCACGGCCCTCGCTCATCTTTGGCAACCTTCGACCATCGACATTCGGACAAGTGTCCCTGGGCGATCTTATACGACAAATGTACAATGAGTACAAACACGTGCCAGCGTTTGGAATTTTCGCAGGGAATACACCAATTTTAGTTATTAACGATTTGGACATGATTAAAGATGTCCTGATTAGGGATTTCTCACTCTTCGCTGATCGAGGTTTGCCAATGTTTCCCAAGGTATTTATAACTAGTCAGTAACGATTAAAGTTCGCTATTAAATTTAAAAGGAAAGGAATTGCATACACACCGCATGCTCCTACTTTCAATTCACTTTTACTTAAGTGATGACGACGAATTTTGACATGGGAATGGTAACGGAGTAATAGAAGCCTACCACAGGTACAGTGGTTTACGAATTTGTTTACAGAAGGCTGTCCAATTTAATTAACCAAATTACGTACCGAATTGTACATGTTATTCCAAAGTTTTCTAACGTTTATCTCAAAAGAGTGGTAAAAGTAAAGAGAATGAGCACATAAAATAGAAATTAAGTAATAATTTTTTTGAAGTGTTTGTTCTAATATGGCCCAAGGCTGTCAAACTTTCGAGGACCCAGATTCACATTTTTATTGCCCTGTACATAGGAAGATACTCTCGTGACCTCTTAACCCTATCGGGAGTTGGAATGCATCCGGCCGGATTGCGTAATTACCCCCGGGGTGTTATGGTGTGGCCAGATTTTCTTGGAAAGCAGTTTCCCTTGAAGAACAGGCATGTCCTCCACTACTTTTAGACTTGATTTTCGGGATACAGAAAGGGACGTGTACAACTCATCCACGGTTCATAATCATGCTCGAAGTCTAACTAGTGAGAGCGGGTATTAAAGTCCCTTTCAAGCATTTTCGAAAGTAAGCTAAAACTCTGTACGACAAAACCCCGCATTTCTCAGTGCGTGAAAACCGAGAACGTTGGAATTAGCTTCCGCGATCACACCTTACAGTAACACTTGTAAAACCTTTACTTATTGAATATACTTTTATATATTTATATTTATTTATAATTCAGTGTTGTTCATTTCAACTCTAGAATAACGTCTAAATTCCCAGCTAGAAGCAAACCCACAAAGGCACACTTTTATCGCTCGGAGTGTACCGAATTCTTAAAAGTTACGAGGCTCATACTAAAATCTTTCCTAGTGGCTCCCTGAGATGAAATAGGCTCGGGTTCTTCCACGACGTCTAAACCGTCCTAGTGGCTCCCTGACATGAAATAGGCTCGGTTTCGTCCACATAACAAACTCTAAAAAAACCAAACTCGCCATTTCCTCGGCTTTCTCATTTTTATGGCCCAGGGCTGTCAAACCTTCGAGGGCCCACTTGGTTGAAAAACAGTGCGGCTGAGTGGGTCACAAATCATTGTAATAGAACGTACAACAAAGTACAGAAACCTTCAAAAATTGAAATTTATTCCACATAAAATTAAATAACATTTAATCTTAACGAACGCTTGATAATTATAATATTTTAATAACTGTGGTCTGATGTATTTCTACATTTAGTGGGATTTCTAATTATTTCGAAAAGGAAACAGTAAACAAAATTTCATTCAATTATTGTTTGACATAAGTGGCTTGAATCAGAGCCCCCAGCAAAGTGGGGCCGGGCCAGCAAGGTACAAAATTTTATACGTGTTGAACAGTTTCATTAGGTTTCGTAAGAAACTAGCTCAATTCTTTCTTATAGAAAATTCACTACTCTCCTAAATTTTGATACAAAGGAGCACGAATTCTATTTAAAATATACAAGTTTACCTCAATATCATGTAAACAAATTGTTGTTTTAAGAATACAGTTTCACCATCATATGTTCCCACCGATACCGTGAAATTCCTATGCGAATCATTTTTAGTATAACACGCAAGTACGTACATTACGGGGATTAAATTTAAACAGTCCATACATCCACACGCATATTAAACATTTCCATACGAAATAACTGAGTTCCAAAATGAAATTAATAAGGCTGTTGGAAAGTTCTGTGGTTTTTATGACCTTTACTTAACTTATATTGTGATATGTTTGCTTTCTTCTTTAATTTGCGAAATAATCGCCATCATTTTGTATGATCATGTTACATCTTTCTGATAATTTATCAATACTTTTTGTATAAAAATCTTCCTCTTAATATAAACATGGATCGACAAATCCAGAGTACCTTTCGACAAATCTAACAAAATAGGCAATTCTATGTCCTATGTCCTATAGGATTGAACAATTTTCTCAAAAAGCGTTTTCCTAAGAAAAAAGTCTGGTTAGCTAATATTTTCCAAGTATATTCCTTAATGAGATTAATTAATGACACGCACAATTTATAGGTGGAACCTTTGAGCGAACATCTATTCAATTTAGAACCGGAAAGATGGCGGCCATTGAGGGCAAGACTGTCGCCAGTATTCACATCTGGCAAGCTCAAAGAGATGTTGCCCCTCGTAGTAGAATGCGGGCAGCATTTGGAAAAGTATTTAGATAAAGTGGTGTCAAAAGGTGAGCCTATCGAATGTCGCGAGATAGCTGCAAAATTCACTACCGATGTAATCGGTAGCTGCGCTTTTGGAATTGACATGAATGCACTCTCCGACGAGGACAGCGAATTTCGTGTCATGGGCAGAATGATGTTCGCCCCTTCTGCTAAACAACTTATAAATGGCATTTGCAGACAATTTTTTCCTAGTTTGTATAATGTACTGGGTCACTTACTTCAACTGAATTACATTACGGACTTCTTTATGAATGTGGTCGTGGACACGATGAATTACAGAGAAAATAATAATATAATTAGGCCTGATTTCATCAACATGCTTATGGAACTGAAAAAGAACCCGCATAACTTGGAAAACGTTGGTAGGTAATGTGATGTTAAAAAATTTTCATTTGTTTACTGCTTGTGTCAGGAAAGCTAATGTGAAAGTGTAAACGCATATTGTCGCCATGTTTTGTTATCGACTTCACTGATATTTTCAGTCAGAATACTCATTATGAGTCTAAAACTAAGAAATGGTCGAAGAAATGAGCACGAAGAATTCTTTCAACATTAAAAGCGTCAATGAATAACGTAAACTTGAAATTTTTTTGTATCTTCAAAGCGGCGCCATTTCATTATTTTTTCATTTTTTTTTATTTGAGTTTGATTCAGATTTCCAAAAAATTCATACTTATTGAATATCATCCGTCCTCAACCGATGGTGTCAATGCAGTTTTAAAGTTAGAATATACTCAATGAAAGCATTTACTTTACGGCATTGTTTAAAATTCAGAGAACATGTAAAAGAATGTATCTAAGCATGTATTCAACTTCAAAGAATTTTGACTTATACTTTATTCGTAAAAAAATACACGATTTTCATGGGGGTAGGAGTAGGTAGACCCTTTCAGAGTTAATAAACATTGATTTCACAGCTTCTTTTAACAGCCACTTATTTTGCAGGACATAATCTGCTTTAATAAAAGAATTATTTACACAGTCAGGACAATATAACCTATCGGTTAAGGTGAAAAGCGCACACACACGGTAGGAAAAGTTTTCTATGATTTTACGGAAACATTAAATACCAGCAAAATAAACATAACAGAAATGGGTGTTTTGGTGAGATCGTACCTTTCGGCCATAAGAACTAAAGGCAGGCGCGAATATTACGAAAACATCGCTGTCGTTTTTGGTGTGTTAATATTAACATGTTAATATTAACACGCAATTTTTGTATAAGAATATTCTGTGAAATTTTTTAATTGAGATATATACCAATGTACGTTTTATTGGGTATAGGGGAGACCGGGGCAAAGTGGCCTGAAAAAAGTTTAAAGTAGAATAAAATTTTTTATTTTCAATAAAAATGTGTACGGATAATTTTATAATATAATTTAAACATTACTATTGACAAATTACGAGTAGCAATACTTCAGACAAACTTGAAGTATTTTAAAACTCAACTTGAAAACAAAATGCCAAAAGGCTGAAATGAAATATGAGATTTAACCTACCGGTGTCGTCCCATTTTTGTCTTAAATAATTTGACAATGTCAAGCCTACACTTATTTCTTATATATAATGTTTAACTTTAACTATTTTTACAAAGGTACTGAAATCTACGTGGTCGATAGACCGCAGAAATAAGTGTGACACAAAATAGAAATTTTGCAAGAGTCTCCCAGACTCCACGACACAGGTTACGGGTTAATAAAGGTCATAATTATTAAATTAACTTTATTAGAATTTTTTAAAGATTCAAACTATTTTTTATTGCAAATTTAACGTCATTAAATTTTAATTAAAGGAACACATTCTTCTGAACATTAACTGATGAACTGAATTCTATCTTAATTATAATTTTCAATATTTATTTAATTGCATTTAACACTTATTTCTATCCTAATTATAATTTATTAAACTACTTAAAAATTGAACTAAATTCCTATAGGTACTATTAATAAAACAAATACATAATTATTAATAAAATAAACACTTGTACTATTTAAATGCATTTTTTAAGAAATGGGTTTCAATAATTTTTTAAAGACAAGTTTCACAGAAAAACAATGTATTTTTTATAAGAGTTTTGACACACTTTTCATGAGCCCATAAATTGCATTCCTGGCATTACCTTCTCTCGCACTGCAGCCCGCGTTACATCAATCGTTTAAACGTAGAAATTTCAATTTTTATAACAAAATAATACTTCTTTTTGAATGAATTGACATTTGGCAAACAGTTATTTAATCTCATTAACTGTTTAAAGTTCAGAATGATAACCTTAAATACTGTTGCTTTTCACTATGTATTATTCGAATAAAATTGTGCTCAACTGTGTTCTCAACTAATCCACGGGTTCGATCAATCACCCAGTGAAACTAATGAATGAAATAAAGTGGAATATATGAAACCAATTCGTGGGGTAGTTCAAAAATGCGTCTCTCAAGTAGAATAATCTATCGCTCATTGTCAGACGTATTTCACCTGTATTTCAGGCGTATCTTCAACAATTATTAATAAGTCGGTGACGAAGCTTCGAATGTAATTTCACCACTCTTGACTTTAACCTTAGTTTATCATGCAGAATCCACTCTATGAAAGTGGCCCACATTTTTATTAACACCCTGTAGATCGCATTTCGTCTAAATAGTCGCAGCCGCAAACGTCTAACGTGGAAAGGAAACGTTACTTTAAGATCTAATTGCTTTCAGATGAGAGGAACATTCTTTTAACACAATAAATAATGTGGTTTCGTTACTTTTCAGAACTGACAGATTCGTTACTCGCTTCGCAGGCGTTCGTCTTCTTCCTAGCTGGTTTCGAAACTTCCTCGTCCACGATAAGTCATTCACTTTACGAATTAGCAATAAACATTGACATGCAGGATAAGTTACGGAAAGAAATCAGGGAGAACTACGCACAACATGGCGAAACTTTAACGTACGAACGGGTGAAACAGATGAAGTACTTGGATTTAGTATTCAGAGGTAATTTCTAATGAGACATGCCGTAACTTAATTACATACCAAACTGCAAAAATTTATTTAAAAATCCGGAAAACGTTGTCACAACAGATTGATACAAATAAGGATCATGGAGATACCTAAGTAGAATTACATAAAAATTTATACACTCCATTGCCATTTCGAAAGTAAAAGACTGACTGTGTGAATCACTGGACGAAGTTTACAATTAGACCACAGTGACGGTATCATCGCGGATAATGTAATCCCCATGCAGGAATATGTTGAAAACTTATTTACATGAAGCTTACTTCCCCAAAAAATTAAAAAGTACGCGAACATGTGTAGTTAAATATAGCAATAAACTGCATGATCTCGATATTTTTGACCTAACAAGGAATATCAACCAATTATCAATCTCTCATTTCATTCAAATTTGGCAGTAAGTGTCAGCCTTTTACTCGCTGATGTTCATGATTAAGTTGTGAAAACCGCTCCTATGGTTAGATTTGAAAGTATATTTTATTAATTATTTCGGAAACTAATAAAGGTTGAAAAGAACGTTAAATAGGAAAAGTGTCTGGTTTTTCATTCATGCACAAGAATTTTCTAGTCACATTAATTCATGAAACATATTCATTGATGCAGAGACTCTGAGGAAATATCCAATCGTGCCAATTTTGATGAGAAAAGTATGTACAAATTACACTTTTAAAGGAACAAATATTACTATCCCGAAGGATATGAACATATGGATACCAGTGTATGGAATTCATCGGGATTCTGATATTTACTCGAAACCTGAAGTGTTTGATCCTGAAAGGTTCACCGAAGACGCCGTTTCGGCCAGACATCCTATGAGTTACTTACCCTTTGGTGATGGACCAAGAAATTGTATTGGTATGACCAAATAAAATTCATTAACGAATAAGTAATATGAATGCTGTACTAAGGTCGGTAAATTCTGAAATTTTGATACATCAAAAATTCAGGAATTACACATACCGGGTGTAAGACAAGGTTTTGTCTTGGCTATCATGTAAATTGTACACATACCGCTCATTTGCATATGCAATTATATCGTTCGTTATTGAACGAAATAGCTAGAAAAATCACGATTATAGGGAAAAAGAATTTGAATATTTTGATTGCACATATTAGGCCGTATTGACCTATTTCTTCATTTTTCCTTCGCCGGTAGATTCTATAACGCGAATTGTATCGATTTCAATGAGTGAGTTAGATTATAAATGTGTAACTTATATAACAATCATTATTCTGACGGCATATTTTCAGGTGCCCGTTTCGCAGTTTACCAGAGCAAGGTTGGAGTTATCTCGATTCTTCGTAACTACAGAGTCGACGTTTGTGAAAAAACAACGATTCCATATGAGTCTGACAGCCGATCGTTCCTGTTAGCACTGAAAGGAGGAGTAGTATTAAAAATAACGAAAGTAGAATAGATTGACAACAGAATAATCTTTTTATTCTACTTATTGCTGTAAAAAGTGACATTAGTACAATAATTTTTTATAATATTTTCTACTTTAACAATACTTTCTTCAGAAATTGATGAATGCAATCCTCTTAAGAAGGGAATATGAATACGATCAGGATCAGACGATATATAAGGTATATCTTTACATCAGTCTACATATTATTTAAGACAACACTATTGTATAAAGAATTTCAATGAAATAAATATATTAGAAATATTCATATTTCGCCGCGGGACGCGATCATCGACCATGTATTATTTTAGACTGTAGTTAGTCTTTCACTGGAATATTTTCGTCTTCGTTTATTTGTCGAATATTTAATACCTTTCAATTAATTTTTGTAACACCATGAGTTCGTATATAGATTTGGAGACCTCTAGAATGGATGTCGTATAAGAGAAAATAAAGTTCTCGCATAGTTTGTGAAATTCACAACAAAAATTCAAATATAGACAGGAATAAACGAGCAATAAATATTCGTACAATTCTTACTTCATAGTGGATACGAGAAAGTTTATAACATAAACATCACATGATCGCTTCGTAACGGTCATTAAAGCCGGATTCACACTAGAGGTCACGGTACGGTCAGATCATGTGAAATCGGGCAGCAGTCTTTATAAATCACGCATAATCTAATGAGGCAGGTATAGTCTAACTTCAGATTGAGTGTGATCGAACCGTACCTTTGACCGCTAGTGTGAATCTAGCTTAATAGTACCAGTCTGTTTGGAAACGATATCAGCATCAGTAGTATTGAAAATTTAACATTATTAAAAATTATAATTAAAGAATGGGACGTAAATGAGCGGAATCTACAATAGAAAAAAGTAAAATTATTATGAATTTACATAACCAATGTAAAAGTTTCTTAGAAATTTCGTGAATTCTAATAGATTTCGGCCCACAATACGGGGTATAATTTATATTATGGATTACAAAAAAAGCTACAAAATAACTAAAGAACTGGATGTCAACAGAAAATTGATCAATATAATGGACGAATTATTATTCGAATGATAAAGTAAAATTCAAAGATAAATGTAATAAAAATTTTTGAACAACTATTACTGATGTGCGTGACTTTTACAGAACCAAGGATGCCATGACTGAGTGGCCTACAAAAAATATTTTGTAAGTGAAGCGAACAAGAAAAACAGATTGAAATTCGCAACTAACAATATAAACACACGAATAGAGTGGTATCTGAAAGTAGAGATTCCACACTTTCAAACGATTCCTTAATGATATCGATACGACCATTCTTGCCACAGCTGCAACCATTTGAACTTGGTCCCATTTTCGGGTTCGTGAAGGTGAGCCCTGAATTTTTTTGCAGAATATATATAAAAACTCGTTTTACGAAAATTTTTTAATAAACTGCAATTATAGGAAATCTTGTTTGAAACTGATCGGTGCACGAATACTTTCTAGACTCACTGTATGTCAACGGTGTCCAACGCTTCTCCCAGGCAGCGTTACCGCAAAAATGTCCTCCGAGGGAATACACGACGTCAAATTACCTCTACTGCCACTCTACACCTACGTCACAAATCATGATTACAACGTCACTTGCCTTTACCTGCGAGTGAAGTAGCACACACAGCTATACTATTTTCCCGCACTACTATCCGACCTTTTCCCTCCATTCCCTAGATCTGGTAATGCTGCTCCCGGGAGGCCAAAGTCATTCCCCACAATTATCCACCGTTACCATGGTGCAGAGACGCGGCTAAAGAAGCGTAACGTCTTTTATTTTTACGGTAATGCTAACATGTCACAGTCACCTTCTTACAATTTGTGCCGTGCAGTTTCCTCTACGAGAGGAAGCTTGGAAGTGAAAGCAAGCGAGCGAGCGTCTCCTACGCTGGACTTGAGTGGTGCAGGCTTTGGCTTAGCAGCTCGAATCATCTACAGGAAGTCTCAGGGGTAATAAGAGGTATAATAGGGAAAGGTATAGGGATGAAGGACGATAAGCCGACCGGAAATATACTCCTTAGACTTCCACGCGCGATGTGACTCCGGGAAAGAAAGGAAAAAAAAAAAAAAAAAATGAACAAAATAAAAAAAATATGTGTCAAAATCATGCTCCGGATGCACGTAGGGAAGGAAGTTGCTGAGAGAAGCCACTAAGGGAACCTGGCTTCGTAAGAAGAAAGCACGTTAGGGATATGGAGCGGGAATAGAAAGAGTGGGGCTAGTGTTTGCCCCAAAGCTCGGCCTATGAAGACAGTCCGTGAAGAGGGAGGGTGCAGGATGGGAGGTATCGGTGACTCCCATTCAGACACGAAGCTCCCTCTCAGTCCCCCCCCCCCC